ATATATATATATATATATATATATATATATATATAAAATTAAAAAAAGTTGTTCATTCAAAGTTGAATATTGAGGATAAATTAAACAAAATGGTTTTATGTGTTGGCAAGACATTATTTTTCTTTTTAAATTTCTTTTGGGCCAGAGATTGTCTCTAAGTTGTTGGACAAAAATATGTATTACAAGAGGAAATTGATTCAAGTATATATTTTGAAACTGTTAACCTATTTTGTGTAAAATAGAAGAGTTAAAAAAAAGGGTCGAAACGCACTTAATCTATTTCAATTTCATATCTATACTGTTTGAGAATATGAATTTTCTAGTTAACAAAACACAATTTGACTATTTTCTTTATGTTGTGTGTACTATACTCTCTCTTTTATTTATATTTTTTGTTACGTGACACTCCACGTGGAAAAATAACTCCACTTGGCAAATCTAAATAAATTAATATTAGGCTAAAGATTAAAGGTTAAAACTAGCACGGTATAAATTAATTTGTTTTAATATTCATGACATTCACCATCTTCTTCTATGCCTTCGGCCTCGTCTCAGTCGCCAAGGGGCAGAAGCCTTTCTTCTGATTTCTTTGCAAGCATTACGGAAGATTCGTTAGCTAATTCAATTCATCCTACCAGGGTACGTCGATATCTCCGGCTTGAAAGGAGAGAGTTTAGGATTTTAAAGAAATCAATTAAATTATATTTAAAAAAACTAATGCGTTAGCTAATAGAGTCGTTATATATGTCAGTTGGACGAAAGTTTTACGGATAAATTTGCCTATAAACATTTCTAGACAAATGGGGTATTTCACTAACCTTTGGCTGATAATTTAGCCGTTTAGGTAGAAAATTCACACTACCAATAATTTAAATATGAAACTTAATAAAGTAAAATAATTTTTAAGTATGTTTTTTAATCCTTAAAATAAATTGTAATCATGCATGAAGAATTAATAGTTTAAATATGAAACTTAATAAAATAAAATAATTTTCAAGTGTGTTTTTTATTCCTTAAAATAAATTGTAATCATGCATGAAGAATTAACGAGTAGACGTGTTGCAACATAAGACTTATGTATAGCATAATTCTATTTAGTGTATATGTTTTCTTACTTTAGAGCTAAAATAAAATCATCAAATAATTAGTAAAATGTCAATGCTACAAATTAAAGACCATACTTGTGGAATAATAATACCAAATATTTGATATTTAATTTTGCAGTACGTAGGAAGTAAAACTGAAAATATAAAGAAAATTAAAAAAAAAAAATCTTCAAGTGTTTGAACTATGATATATATCTTTTAGTTCCAATTCAAACTCTTGAATATCTACATCATTTTCTTATGAATGAAGCATAGTAAGTTCCAGTCCAGTGACGGAGTCCGAACTTTATATATATATATATATAGAGTAAATGTTGAACTCTTTTAGTGAAAATTCTGCTTCTGCTAGTACTGGACGTTGAGGCAATGAGAAAAGGAGCTAAAGAACCGCGTTTGGTGAAGTAAGAGTACCCGGGCTTAGAAGAATAGAAGAACACCATGCAAAAGAAGCTGGCGATAGAGGAAAATTAGCTAATGGACTACACGATCCAAAATGATTTTCTGATGGAATCCGGAGCGTTACATGTGATCTTTCTTGTTCTTCATTATTCGTTGAGTCAATGCATGTTTCAACTACTTGGTTAATGTTAGAGGAAGAAGAAGGACGAAGGAACTCACGCCATTGTGATGCAATATCATTATTATTACTATTGTTGTTGACGTCATTACTTCTTTCTAAAGAAATCGGTGAAAGAACAAGTGGTGGAGGAGCAATATCCTGTAAACGCCTCGAGTTGAAAGAACCAGAGCCAGAGCCAGAACCAGTATCAGAGCTAGACGTAGAATTATTAGAGACAGATTGAAACTCGGGAGATGAAGTGAGCATTTGGACAACATCCTTGAAATCATTAGGTTCAACTCTATATATTTTAGGAGGTGTTGGTGGCAAAGGTGCAATTGGTAGTTTAGTCATTGGTTTTGTTGGGAGTTTTCTAACTCCATGAAGTGAGGAATGATATGAGGCTAATTTTTTATTTTTCTTTTGTTCTTGTTGTGGATATGTTGAAGAAGAATTGGATGAGGAAGATGAAGAAGAAATAGTATATGAAAAAATATCCATATTAATTATTTTTTTTTGTGGTAAGTTTTATCTTAGCAAGAAACTTTAGTATTAAGAATATACATTTTTGTTGCTTTTGCATTTTGGTTATATATAGAGAGATAGAAGATAAATTATTGAAAGGAAACTTAGAAAAAGATGGATGTGATTAAAATAATTAAAGAATTTGTCTTTAAGCGTCGGCTTTGGTTGAATATATATAAAATAATTGAACATATATATATTTGACCTCTATTTAAAATTGCCCCCATTATTGTTTTTATCTTACATACGTGTATAATTCGTTTGAATATAAGATAGATCGATGTACAAAATATTTTGTGTTTATATAAAATATGAAAAAAAGTTTGCACTCTAATAAGTGTGAGGTAGATCTGCATGCATTAAAGGTAGCTTTCACGATTCAAATCGATGATTTATAAATCATACGAAGATAATTTTATCATTGTTTCAAGACTTCGTTTTATTGAATTTAATAGCTATGTTCGGTTCTTTATGGTATTCGAAATATTTAAATACTTGTGACATGAAATTTATTTAAAGGGTAATCAGTTTATAATGTTAACAAGAGATTTTTATTTTCGAAATTTGAAGCTGATATCTCTGATTAACAATAAATTAAATTGAAATGATTACGTTCATCTCACATCATCCCTTGGTGGTGCTTTGTTCCATATATCTGTGATATGTGATATGTATTAAAAGAGTATGTTAAGGTTACATAATTAAAAAATTACATTACAACTTGCCATGTTTGTCTAGTACTATTGTTCATATTTGACTTCTATTATAAAAATTGCCTCCATTATTGTTTATTTCTTACATTTATAGTCCCTTTGAATAGCTATCTTCTATCCCCCCCCCCTTCTTGGTGTATACGGTATACAAATTAAATCGAAAATTGAGTCAATTTGAATTTTTTTTATTAGTGGTTGGTTTGATCTGGTTTTGTGTCTTAAAAAAAATTTCGATTATATTTTCATGGTTCAATTGGTTTGGAGGGTAGTTATTTACAGGATAATCTGAGCTTGTCTAGTGCGGTTTACTTCCTATGTGTGATTCACAAGCTATTACACATCGAGGGATTTATTCCGTGCACATAGCGTGCTCACTCGAAGGGCAAAGACTCTAGCAACCGCGGGTTATCCTGGAATTCCAAAAAAAATAATAATAGAACTAGTCGAAGGGATCAGTTCAATATCTATTATACATATATAAATAAAACAGTGTAATTTCTGACAAAAGAAGTTCGAATAGACCCCTAGCTCTAAACTGACTCCAATCCTGAATTTTGACTTAGCTTATATACCCTTTACTTTTAAACATTTTTTATGTTTATAAAACAGTTAAATAAGTAAAAAAAAATTAATAAATGGTTATAATCTAGTTTAACCACCTTTTAGTCAAACATATTTTTAGTTGCAACTTGATTCAAACTTCAATTTATTTTTATAATTTAATTAACTTTTAGTAATTATGTGGGAAGTGTTTACTGTTTAGTGTAAAGCTGACTGCTTAGCCGCCAGACCCCTCTCTAATTAATAGGGTTGCAAATTTTTTCATATGTTAATTAATGATAATATGATAATAGTTTTCTAATAGCGATAAAGTTATTTTTGTATGAAGTATAAGTCATGTATCAAAAAAGTTTTTTTTTTAAAAATAAAGTATTAAGTCATATATCTTTTTAAAGTGTGATTTTTTTAAAACCCTTTATTAATGCAAGATGTTTTATATATCAAAACTGTTTTTTTATGGTAATTTTTTTTATGTAACGACCTGTTTAGTCGTTTTGAGCAGTAGATTTCAATTCTGGAAAAACTGGCAGAAGCGACGGACCCCACGACGGACCGTCATGGGCACGACGGACCGTCGCAGGGTCTCGTTTCAAAACACTTAAAAAATCTGAAAATTGGGTACTGAAATAGACTCTCTGAACTTCGCAACGGAATGGCAGGACGGACCGTCACAGGTGTGACGGAATGGCAGGACGGACCGTCACAGGTGTGACGGACCGTCACAGACTCTTCAGAGAAATTGAG